GGATTACTGCAATACTCTGGGAGCAATGAGCTGTCCGTAAAATTAAGACCCCATCCCGTTGTGTGCACAAAAATAATTTCTTATTATCCTTAACCTACCTTGTGAATCGTTATCTGATTATATTATTATATTATATTATCACTTTAGACGCTGCAGCCGTCTTACACAACAACATCGTCTCATCATTAGATAAAGGTGCCAAATACGTCCGCTGCACGTTTCTCGATTTCACTTCTGCTTTCGACTCTGTACCTAGAATTCTCTTGCTAAATAAGCTCTCTTTGACAAAAACTGAGTCCTGGGTCACTAACTGGCTGCATTCCTACTTCTCTAACAGGAAGCAGTACACCGTATACATAGGTAAATCCTCCTTTGCTGTACTCACTGAAGCTGGTGTCCCCCAAGGTGCTGTACTCTCCCCACTTCTCTTTTCTTTCTTTCCACATGACTTACCATCTTCAAATGACATCAATTTTGTCAAATATGCTGACGACCTGACTGTATCTTTGCCTGTCAAATGTCAAAGCGACTGCTCTAAACTTAATGGCTTTCTGTCAGAAATCAGTCAGTGATCCAAGGAAAACGGTCTTACCTTAAACCCCTCCAAATGCCAAACAGTCAATTTCACCGTTAGGCATAAATCCGACCTAAACAAACTGGTTGGCTCTCACGAGGTGTGCACTGAAATAGAAACTAAATCGGAAATTAAATACCTAGGCGTCCTTCTATCTGCTGATCTCTCCTGGTTGTCTCATATCTTGACGATTTCTAAGAAAATATTCTGTCTTACCTTCTACATCAAGAAGTTAAAACATTCTGGTATAACCCAACCCTTACTCCTACAATTCGTTAACTGTCGCATTCTGCCTATTATTCTCTATTGTTCCCCCTTAGTTTTTCCCGGGCTACTGAAGAAAGACTATACCTTATTACGCAGGGCGTTAAAGGTTGTCAGCAGGGTAAGCAATGTGCCACTTAACCAGCTTGTTAATATTCTGGTCGCCAGGCACATGGACTTATGTTAAAAATGGGCCAAATCCATTTTTATTATTATTATTAAAAAGCATTGGATATTCTAAGCGTAAACGGATATCCAGGGGAGTTACACAGGCCAACAAAGGTTATAAAAGTCGCAAACATGGACTGGCAATGATGGAGAAAAGCTATTATCATATTTGCTGTCTCGTATTCCCCTCGAAACCGACAGGAAACTTACCTAATCTTAGCTCCTCCTCATGCATGTACCGTTTGAAGTGTTCCTATGGTTCAAGCTATACAGGGAATATGAGTAAGGAGATTTGTCTATGGATTCGTGAACACTTACTAGCTTGGTTCGGAAAAAGGGGAGAAATCAAATGCATAAAAAAGTCCAATTCTGTCACACTTGGTGGACGCGGGACATCACATTGACATAGCCTTCAGGGTTGTATACCACATTCCTAAGTCATTATCATACACAATTTACCTAAATCGTCTTCATGTAACTGAAGCTGTTGCAATATGATCGACGAAACCAGAATTTTAATGTTCAGGCGTTGCTCTTACTTCGGCCCCACTTGGATTAAAAGTTCTCCCTTCCAAGAGTGTATTTCCCTCTTATCTCGTTTTTTGATTAATTGATTACTTGATTCCTTCCCTCTTCATCTTATCAGTTTTAGCCACAATCTTTTGTAATTGATACCCTTCATTCTAGCATTCTTTCAATTCAACACCATAGAATTTTTTTTCATTTAGTCTATTTTGAGTTATTAATAGTGGCATTATTTCTTTTCTCAATATGTGATTTCACCTGTTTCATTTCCAATGTTGATTATTTCATGATGAATTATTTACCATAGTCTTCCAATTTTGGTGAGTGCTACTGATAAGACTTATCAGTAGTATATGAAGAGACGTTCATCGGCACAATATCAAATAGCAAGGAGATACATTTGATGTCAGAGAGGGCAAATGATACAGCGTTGTGGAGATACATGGGGGATGTGAAAGGAACACAACAGAACACAATATGAAGTCCAGAAGTATCACAACGTGAAGGTCTGTGCAAATGATGCGTTGAAGATAAGGTGTACATAGTTTGGCTATAGACAGATACCAATTTCTCCTAGTGTTACGCTGTCTCTTCCTTATCGAATACTATTTTTTGTAATAGTCACTCATCAGACTGCCTTTACAACTTTGAACTTGTTGCGGCAAATAATTCCCGCAAATTATTAGCCTACGGCATTCCTCACCTAACAATGGATGCCAACCTTCACTGTTTAAGTCGAATCGTTGGGGGAGCTGAAGGTTCGTGGTCAAGCATCCATGACATTTGGTACACTATCGTGTTAATTTCGCTCGTTCATGCACGACCCCCCAGTTAGTTGGACAATCATTATCGTACTAGGATTTTGGTGTTTCGATTTGTCTTTGGTCTAAGCTGAAATTGGAGGATAAGAATTTGCTTCGGTATATAATCGTAATTTGCACAAACGTCAATATCCCTTCTTCTCCTAAAAACTAATTACCTGTCAATTTTCCTTTCCCACATTGCATGAATCTGATGAATCACTGTCGTCGTCTCACATTTCACAATATTTTGAAAGTGCGTTGAGCCAAATACATTTGTTACACTAATTTATAAATTTATTCTGTTAACCTATACCTACTAATCTGTTATTCTACGTGAAAATATATAGGACTCACGCCTGCCTATTATGGTAACGATAAATATCATATGTTATAATTTTAAGAATTTGAAGAAGAGAATTTACTGAATAGAATATTCTTTGTTCAGAGTGACTTAATAATAATAATAATTATCATTGTTCCCTTGGGTTCCTAGTGGAACATAAGGCTTCAACTGCACGTCTTCACTTGCTTCTTTCTTCTGCTGTACTTTTCACTTGCATCCATGTTAGTCCATACTGTTTCAACTCCTCTTCACACGATCTCCTCCATGTCACCCTTGGACGTCCCACTCGCCGCTTCCCTTTCGGGTTCCACTCGAACGTTGGCCTGACGCTTGATGTCACCCAGTGGCCTCTTCAGCGAGTGTCCAATCCATTTCCACTTTCTCCTGCATATTTGTTGAGCGATTGGTTCTTGTTTTGTTTGTTTGTTCCCATAGTTTCTTGTTGGTGATTCTTTCCGGCCATCTGATCTTCAATATATAGCGAAAACAGTTGTTGATAAAGGTCTGAAACCTGTTGGAAACATTCTTTGTGACCCGCCAAGTTTCTGATCCGTATAGAAGAACTGACTTGACTTGACGTTTGTACTGAAAATCCGAATTTTGTTGTTGATGCTGATTGACGAAGATTTCCAGATTGGTTTCAGGTTGATGAATGAGTTTAATAAAAGTAGTGTGAATTATTATCCTTCAAATTCATAAATAAAAAATGGAATAAATGCAGAACTCCGCCATCCCAGAACAAGCTGGATTCAAGAAAGACAAATCATGTACTGATCAGATTACAACAGTCGTCAAATCTCTAACTCAATCTAATAAAAGTTGAAAATGCCTTCGACAAACATCTGGCTTTATGACAATGCCACGTGCCAGGTGATTCACAAAGGAAAACTCAGTGAGGCGTTTGAAGTGAATACAGGAGTATGAAAAAGCTGACTGCCTATTATCACCGATGATGTTCTCGATTGTGGTGGACTGGATCATGCGGAAGACTATGGGGAGCGAGGAGACAGGAGTACGCTGGACCACCAATGAGAAGACTCTGGAAGATCTGGATTTCATAGATGATATATATCTAATGTCACACAAACTCGAAGACTTACAGGCGAAAACCAACAAACTGACTGGAGAAGCAGGCGGTGGCGACAGGAATTCAAGTGAACATAGAGAAGACAGAGGTGGTGAAGATAACCAACCAACCAATGAACAGCAACAACAACCAGCACCAGTCACCATCAAGGGGAGAGATTTGTCAGAGGTTACTTCCTTCGCATATCTAGGAAGAACGGTTTCAACCACAGGCGGAATGAACTGAGGTGTGAAATCCAGAATCGGGAAGGTAAGGTACGCCTTCATCAACCTGAAACCAGTTTGAAAATCTGCACTCTGCATAAAGAAGAAGATTCGGATTTTCAACACAAATGTGAAGTCAGTCAATGCTTCTACTTGGTTCAGACACTTGGCGCGCGCGTTACAATAAGGATTTTCAACAGGTCACAGACTTTCACCAACAGCTTCTTTCTTCGCTGGCTGCATACTGAAGATCAGATGGCCGGCAAGAAAGAATTAGCAAAAAGAAACTCTGGCTGGGAACAAACCAACCAAGAGCCGATCGCTCAACAAATATGTAGAAGAAAATGGAAATGGATAGGGCATACGATGAGGAGGCCATCGAAAGACATCGCGCGCAATGCAATCCATTACTGGAATGGAACTACCGAGTGGGTCGTCCGAATATGATTTGGAGGACATCTTTGGAAAGGCGGAGGTAAGAGATTATAGTCAGTCGTGGACCTATCTGAAGAGGACAGCACCAAATATAACAGAGTGGAGATGTGTTGTTGAAGCCCTATGTGTTCCACTTGGAACCTAAGTGAATAATAATAAATGCCCAAGTCCGTTATCATTTTATATATAAATTAATCTGACAAGTACAGAGGTGTGATCAGATTGTTCGAAATGTATTGCGTTAATATACTACAACAAATTTTCCAGATAAACTCTGCCTTATAATATGACACCATCCAAATGAATTAGAATTCAACCGTGAAACCTCAGTGATTATGATCCTCTCAGCGATATAATTAAGAATATGAGAAATGTTTGGTAAATCGTGGTGTATATTTGAATGTATACCTCCTGATTAACAAGCTTCAGAGAAATAAGTGTAATTTTAATTACAATAATTTACATAAAATCAATAATTATATATATATATATATATGTTCAATGTACAATAGGTATTAAATGTACAGTCAATGTATTCACATAGTCGATAACTAAAAATGGCGGCAAAAAAGAGAATGAGAGAACGCTGATCAAGCCATCATCTTTTTTGAAAATCACATCGTAATATTCGAAAAAATGTTCGCCTAAATGATATATTTGATAATGCATAACAAAATGGATTAATCGGTGAATTCATATAACATAACCAATAAGATAAATTATATAAATGTATATTCACACAACTTGTGTGCGTAGCTAAATCATCACAAAAGCCTTTGATCAATACAATTATATGATATGGTGTCCAACAGATCATAAATGCTCCCAAAATAAAACTAATCGTTTTCAATGCTTTACGTGCATGTTTACGATTCTGTGCATCAATATTTGATAGAGATTGAAATATTGAAAGACTTGTCTGCCGCCTGCCAGGTTTGGTTCTTGTTGTTGTTGATGCTGATGTCTTTCCGTATTGTTGGTGGGGTTGTTGTTGTTGTTGTTGTGAGTTAAATCTTTGTTGCTTCTGTTTATATTTTAAAGACAGTTTATTAGATTTGCTCTTTTGTTGGCCATTATGTACATTCATATAATCATCACTATTATTTGGACTTTGAACTTGACTATTACTTAGACTGGTTTGACCTTGAGTGTGATTATTGTTTAAATCGGTGTTGATTTGTTGTTTTGGCGGGAAAATACAACACAAACATTTCGACTGAGGTTTAGTTGGTTCTTCACTTATTTGTGATTCACGGTGTTGTTGAATAAAATTCTTACTGCTATTATTATTACTGTAGTAATAACATGGACATATATCTTGATTATTGTTATAATTATTTTGTAGTCCACAAGGATAAGGTTTGTCATCACAGGATTTACACACTGATGAAGGGGATTGCTGTTTGCTTAGTGTACACACGGATTTGATAAGCATATTATTCGGTTTATTCAATCTATGCATGAATCGTCTGTACCAACAGTTGGTATTCGTTAACTGGTTATTATACATTGAGCTCATATTCCCACTGGATGTTGTATACTCAGAGTATTCACACTATAATTGTTTAAGAGAAAAACGAAAATAAAAATATGATTAGTGTAATAAGTGTGCTATTTTTATTGACCTTGGCGGCCTGTTTGAATTTTTGGGCCTGCTATCATAAAATCTACATATTGCATCCAACCTACCATTTACTCCATTTATTTATCACCCAAATATGAATTCCAAAAGGATTATTTACTCTCGCAACTTTATCATTCATTTACGACCCAATGACTTTCATATTCCCAAGAAACCAAGGAGGAAGCATCGTAGTGGCTGGCAAAGAGCTCTTAAACGTACACCAATACACTTAACCACGGTCCCTGTCATAATGAACACCAACTGCCGCTCTCTGCCTAACAAAATAATGTACCTACAATCCTTGATGTCCACTGACACTTATCACAATACTGCGATAATCACATTACAAGAAACATGGTTACACGAACTGTACGATGACAATCTCATCTCTCTAAAGGACTTCATCCTATTTAGACAAGACCGAATATGTTGTAATAAGAAAAGCGGGGGTGGAGTTGCAACTTTTATTAACTCAAAATGGTCTATTTCTAATAATGTTTGCTTCTCATTCTCAAATGACTTCATAGACTGCATCACCGTCAAATGTCGTCCCAAACATCTCCCCAAATATAAACACATCTTTATCACAAACATGTACATTTCTCCAAGTTGCTCACTATCTAATCTTTCAAGTTTTGCCGATGAATTCACCATGTTCGCCGCTGCCAACTTCGACAACTCTCTGTCTGTTATTACTGGGGACTTCAACTCGTCAGATTGCTCCTTCCTTGAAGCACTTGGTCACTCTAACATTGTCAAATTTCCCACTCGACTAGACAAAACACTGGATTTAGTTTTTACAAATGACGAAGGAATCTATGAAGCACGTAAACGTGCACCGATCCTCAACTCTGATCACTCTATTGTTCGTGTTCTACCAAAAATTTACAGCAAAACACACATTAAAGTCTTCTCGCATCTGTCTATGAAAGCACAACAAAGATGCTACTCATCCGAAAACTTACTCAATCTAAGGTGCATGTTACAAAATACTAACTGGGACTTATTCCATGAAAGTTCATTAGATGACACAATCGTCAATATAACGGATTATCTCAAGTTTTGCCTTGATATATGTTGTCCCAAACAAACTCTATTCAAACGTCTCGACCGCTTCTCATCTCCTTATCTCAAACAACTTCGCAGGAAAAAAGAAACTTTGTACAAATCCAAAGACAAGTTAGGACTCAAAAAGATTAATGCTCAGATCAAATCTGAAATCAAAAATCTTAATGCTATATATAATGATACACTTTTATCATGTAAATCTCCAATCAGTATGTGGAAACTTTTTAATGAAATTACTGGTAATAGTAAGCGTTGTAATACTTTTCCCTCTTATGATGTTAATGCTCTTAATCAGTCTTTTATACGCTGTCCTTCTACTTTAACTACCTCTAATGTTACCTATCATGTTGCTGAAAACTTTCATGACTTTAATACTCTCGATGTTCTAAAATGTCTTAAAACACTCAAGCCCTCACGTAGCCTAGGTCCTGATGGTATACCTGCCTATGTTCTAAAACAATGTGCAGATGTGTTGTGTTCTCCACTAACCAACATCCTAAATGCCTCTTTCTCCAAAAATATCGTACCTGATGCATGGAAAGACATCAAAATTGTCCCTGTCCCTAAACCTGGAAATGGCAAGAACGTAAAGTTCAGACCCATTGCCATCACTTCCCCGTTTCTAAAGCTTATGGAAAAACTAATACTTCTTAAACTCGAACCCTCCCTTAAAAACTTCGAAGACCCAAAACAATTTGCCTATAGACAGGGTAGGAGTACATTAGACGCTGCAGCTGTCTTACACAACAACATCGTCTCATCATTAGATAAAGGTGCCAAATACGTCCGCTGCACGTTTCTTGACTTCACTTCTGCTTTCGACTCTGTTCCTAGATGTCTCCTTCTAAATAAGCTCTCTTTGACGAAAACTGAGTCCTGGGTCACTAACTGGTTGCATTCCTACTTCTCTAACAGAAAGCAGTACACCGTATACAAAGGTAAATCATCCTCTGCTGCACTCACTGAAGCCGGAGTCCCCCAAGGCGCTGTACTCTCCCCACTTCTCTTTTCCTTCTTTCTACATGACTTACCATCTTCAAATGACATTAATTTTGTCAAATACGCTGATGATCTGTCTGCATCTTTGCCTATCAAATGTCAAAGCGACTGCTCTAAACTTAATGGCTTTCTGTCAGAAATCAACCAGTGGTCCAAGGAAAATGGTCTTACTCTAAACCCTTCCAAATGCCAAACAGTCAATTTCACCTTTAGGCATAAATCCGACCTAAACAAACTGTTTGGCTCTCACGAGGTATGCAAAATAGACGGCACTGAAATAGAAACTAAATCGGAAATTAAATACCTAGGTGTCATTCTATCTGCTGATCTCTCCTGGTCGTCTCATATCTTAGCAATTTCTAAGAAAATATTCCGTCTTGCCTTCTACATTAAGAAGTTAAAACATTCTGGTATTACCCAACCCCTACTCCTACAATTCGTTAATTCTCGCATCCTGCCTATTATTCTCTATTGTTCCCCCTTAGTTTTTCCTGGGCTACTGAAGAAAGACTACAACATATTACGCAGGATGTTAAATGTTGTCAGCAGAGTAAGCAACGTGCCACTTAACCAGCTTGTTAATATTTTGGTTGACAGGCACATGGACTCATGTGAAAAATGGGCCAAGTCCATTTTATCTAACTCACACCACCCTCTTCACTCACAACTCTCCCCTTGCATCTCATCAGGTAAAACCAGAAGCCAATATAGAAAACTATATGCTCGTACCAGCAAGTACAAAAACTCAACCATACCCTACTTAGCTCGCGTTCTGTGTGATAAAGAAAGCATTAGGCGTGACACCTATAATTCATTAAATAGTCAGTAGTACAACTGGATCTCATCTTTCCAACCCACTTCATCAATAGGTTCAACATTTCCTTTCTTTCTGTTCCTGTCCTCTCTCTTCTTTTTCCGTTATGTGCTGCTTTGTTCTCTTTCTTTCGCTTACGCCAGTTAATAAGACAGCTCCCACTTTTCTAACACCTTCAAACACTGTTTCAGCTTTACCTTTGCTACTGAACATGCCAATGTATTGTTGTAATAATGAACTGTGGTTTCCTCAATCTATGTAGAATTCTATTTTATTGACAATGTACTAACTGGATGCAATACTGTAGTAAAAATGCTGAGAATTCCATTCTGTATCACAAGTACTGTTTTGGAATAAAGCAAATTATTATTATTATTATTATTATTATTATTATTATTAAATAAAGCATTGTATGAAGATATGTCAGTAATTTACCGATTTCAGACACATACTGAACCAGTGACGGGTCAACCGTGTACGGGGTTCAGGCTGCGATTCACTGCTGACTCACTCCTAAACGTAGCTAGCCCAGTAAAGAGGAAAGGTTGGAGCTGAGGTGAGTGAACCTGCCTGTTAAAATTAGAACAATGTCGAAAGGACTTCATGAAGTGAAGTTTCAACCCCCGGTTGTGACTCTTCAGCAGCACACATCATTCACTTTATAAAGAATCTAGAAGAAAATCAATAATATCTCACTCTAGGGCATATCACCTCTCACTCACGTGGTCAAATCTGATCGGTCTTTTATTTCAACTTCTTTTAATTTCCTTCATAGTGTAGTGGTCAAATGTCCATATGCAAGACGTTAATTGTTTAACTAACTAATCTCTATAGTTTGGTTTGTAAGGGTTTGTTATGTTTTTACGAGTTGACCACTGATTAATATCAGTTAGAGAACCATTGAAAACCAGCACTGGAGTACTAGACAGCTGCTGGTTCATCCTAGTTTGGGAATCATAGACAGTACGCACCCACTGGGATTCGAACCCAGGACCTTCCGGTAACAAGGCAAGCTCATATACCATCTCTGTTGATTTCTTAAGGCCGTTTACCTTGTATTTTAACTTCGTACTCTATACTACTAATAAGTAATACAGGTGAATTTATACAAACTCTGGTCAACATTTGCTTGCATAGTTCCACCAAAGATTAGACACCGAGTGAAAAGCAAACATTTATAAAAATTATATTTGTACAGATCTCAGTGAAACTGCAATTAGTAGCTTCAACGTTTCGTTCGGCAAACTGGTACGAACTTCTTCTGGGGAATTAATCAAAATTAAAATAACAAAGGTATGTATAAAGACTTAATTTGTTTGAATCGTGTAATGTATTTGCGCAACACATCTCGAAGAATCTGATCACACACGGATTTGTCATAGGAATATATATGAAATTAATAAAGAATTAAGATGTGAGAAAATAAACTTAGGTCAAGTTAAAAGGAAATATTGAAGGTCAAAATAACAATGAAGGTCACTAAACCAAATAACAGAGGTAATAGTACATCTACCGTGGCTGGTATCAAAACAGACTTTACCAAGGACGGTTTAGTGTGATGACGAATTGTTGCTTTGAACTCATAAAGGTGGTTTAAACTTTCTAATTGCCAGGTAGGGTTTCCACAAACTTTAGGATGCGCTCCAAAGACGTTTTATAGATAGGTTTAAAAGATGTGTGAACATCAATTTTATGTCCTGTATCTATAATATGTTTCGCAATAGAGGAGCTAGGTCTCCTGTTCTCACCACTAATGAGTTCTGAAGATTCTATTCGTTTCTGGATCCACTTAGGAATATGCTCTGAAGCCAGGCCTTACTTGCAGAGATCAATGAGTCCTCCCCATGTGTATGTTCTTAATTAATTTTTAATTATCGCATAAATTTTCCTAATTTTATCTATTATTTGATTTCCTAAGTCCCTTTGCGTTTTGACTGGAACCTAAGGTTAAAAGCTTGGCCCCTGAAGTTTCGTTAGCAATGGTGTTTTCTTAAGGAGTGGGATTAGTAGCTCTAGGTCAAACCTTTCCTCTTTACTTGGTTTATCACAGGCTTAGCGAGATTTAGGAGTGTGTCGACTGGGAATCGAACCCTGAACTACATGAGGCACAATTACCAAGCATTTAACCACTGGACCACACGAAGTATTACTGCATTTTTATACATATAACACATGAATTTATGATTATTGAAGGATAATAAACCCAGGACTTACTTTATCAGTTAAACAGCATGTCGGTGGACATTGATCCCATGATGGTGAATCAGATAAATAGTAGTATACACCATTTTCACAGAAATTTTTATCACTTATAAACTGTTGACACTTTAACACTTGTGGACAAAGATCACATTCGTATAAATTTAAACCAGAATCATAACAATTATCCTTTTTTCTAATCCATACTGGTGAGTTATTCTCAGAATAGGTGTATTTCGGTGACAGTGACTGATCACTTTGAATTGGTGAAGAAGTTGAAACTTTTGGTGATGGTATATAGAAGTTGACAGACGGCAGGGAGAAAATTTCATCATTTAAAGATGATAAAGAGTCTTTTCTATGCAAATCTGCTTGTTTGTCCTCATGAGCAGTTGTCCCTGCTGTTGTTGTTGCTGTTGCTGTTGTCGATATACTAGTTTGATGTGTTTGAGATGTATTCAAAATACTGTCGCTATTATGATAGACTGAACAATCATTAGAAGTCTTATTTTCATATTGATAGCCGCGTTGAAGTTGATCACTTTGTTGTGAAACAGATCCACTTTCACCAATACCACGATGATATGATGATGGTGTTTCAAGTTTGTTGGTGAGGTATGTTGATATTGACTAACTGTTGTTAATGAATATCTACAAAAAACAAGGTGAATATTTTACAAGAGGAAATCAGTCAGTGCTTCTATATTAGTTTAAAGGCGTGGTTAAATGGGGTCAGTAAAAGCATTTTGAACAGCCTTACTAGAGACTTTCAACAACAGTTGTCTACTTCACTGTCACACTACTGAAGATTACATGGCCATTTGAAAAGGACAAGCAAGAAGCAACTCCGATAGATGGTGATCTAGAAGTGGATTGAATATATGCGTTGAGGGGACCTTCGCATGAAATCATACGTCAGACTGTTGGGGGAAATTTGAAGGGAAAGCTACAGGTTAGGCGATGTTTTGAGGATGAGAGGAAGGAGATTATGTGATGAGGAAAAGAAAATGTGTGGCGCTAAATCATCGGTAGGAATTCCATACAAAGAAGGAAGCTCGGAAACCAAATTATGCAGAATTCTTAACAATGCTGGAATAAAAGTGGCCGTCATTCAAACCAATAAACTTTCTCGGTTAAAGGATCAATCCTGTGGAGCCTTTAAAACAAAACAATTTAGTTTATCTAATACCCTGACTGCAATGATCGTCAGGTCAAATACATAGGTCAAACTAGTAGAACAGGGGCAGTCAGATTAGCTGAACATGGAAACTTAGCAAATTCTAGATTGGTTGACTTGAATAAGATAAGAAATCTAGAGAATAGTTCAGCTATAGCACTCACTACTTGCAGTTACACACAACCATACAATAGGATGGGATAGGATGACAGTTTTAAGATCTAATGTCACAGGGTGGAGGGAGAGATTGATAACAGAAGCTTTGTTTAGCGAATCAACTGGAAACACGCGCAATAGGAATGATTCAACACCTGTCCGCCCAGATATCTGAAAAATTCCACCACCCCAGAGACAAACAGGAGGAACAAAGAAAATTATACAACTCAAGTTTCCAAATCGTGTGATTAAAACTGATATGATTATGATCCAGTTAATAATACTGTTCCACTGTGTGATACATCTAATACACAAACTAATATGGAATTACTTACTACTACAATGCCCAAGTTTTACACATATATTAAAATGTGTGGCAGTTGTGGAATCCTGGACAGATATTTCGTAGCACAAGTTTGAAACTTTTCTGTTCTACTCACCCACCCTTCTTTGGACCCAGGATCTGGCTGCAGTGCCAGGTCATAGGCTTTTTAGCCACTGGGATTCAATCTCAGTTCCAAACTAGGATGAAACAGCTGTCCAGTACTCTCAAGTTTTCCACTGGTTCTCTAACTGATATCAATCTGTGGTGGAACTTGAAGTACTTTTACTGTCAATGAAGATTAAAAAGCAAATTTAAGTCGGTCAGTGAAAAGACACTAAATATTCCAAATAACTTTTGAACTTACTCCCTAATCGATTATATATAGTTCTGGACATATGATATGCAGTCATACTATTTTTATGTTAGATAAGTTTATTTGATATAACACACAGTCCGTGTACGTCGGTAGCACAGTGGTTAGGACTCTCGCCAACCATGAATGAACATGGTCCGGGGTTCGATCCCCTGCCGACGCACACCTGATATCTATGGTCGGTCTGCAAAATTTGGGCTACCGATATCATATGCTGAAAATTCCATCCTTGTACCGAAAATACGGTGTGGAATCAAGCTATAACTGGATGGTTTTTCGAGCACAATTGATTACTGTTCATAATCGTATCAATACACCTAAACGGATTTACAATTTGCTTTATGCATATATATGTACATATATTTTCTCTTCCCTCGATTGTTTATTGTAATTTTCCATATATGCAGTATAGGCGTTGCGTCTATTAGATTGCGCGTGTTGGGTATTGATTCAGTGAGCAAAGATTCGATGATTAACATCTCTATCTTCCTCTCTGTCTCCCTCTCCATACAACAATACCACTTTTTAATGCTTTTTACACTATCCTAAACTATTGCATGATTACATACAAGTGAATGCATTTCAATGGCCAAGTTATTTTCCAGATTATTTATCTTAGCGGAGTCAATCATTCTACCTCCAGGTACATTTCTGTGTTCCAACGATCTAATTGACACTCATCTCCACCGAAATTAGAAATCCTAAATGCAATCAAACTACTAAAGTCCGGGATGGCAGTTGGACCCGACAGAATTCCTCCCGAAGCACTGAAAATGGACCCAGAGACTGCGGCAGATGTGTTCACGCCATTACTGTAAAAGGTTTGGAAAGAAGGTAAGGTACCTTTCTATTGAAATAAAGACTGGTTACCTTGTCAAGCTGCCAAAGAAGGGCGACTTAAACCTGTGTAAGAACTGGCGTGGAATCATGCTGTTGCCCACGCCAAGTAAAATGCCAAGTCGCATCCTGCTGGAGAGAATACAGGATGCACTGGACGCAGAACTCTAACAGCCGGCAACAAGCTGGGTTCAGGAAGGGCAAAGCATGTGCTGATCAAATTGCAACTCCACACATCGTCATCACAGAACAAAGCATAGAATGGCAGCCAAATCTCTGCCTTCCTCAACTTCATTGCCTCTGAAAAGGCCTTTGACATCGTTGACCAAGAAGTAAGTCAACACTGAGGCGTACCTCAAGTCTTTATCAACCTCATTCAACCGCTATATGGCAGCGGCACATGTCAGGTGATCCATAACGGAAAACTCAGCGAGGCGTTCAAAGTGAATACAGGAGAAGGACAAGGCTGCCTGTTTATTATCACCACCGGAAGGTCCTGGGGTCTAACCCTGGTGGTGGGTGTATACTACCGATGATTCCCAAACTCAGATAAAACAGCTGTTCAGTACTCCCTGGTGGTTTTAAATGGTTCTCTAACTGATACCAATCCGCTATCAACTCGTAAAAATAAATAAAGGTGTAATACAAACTATAAACAGTTCGATATTAGACCAACTTGTCCAGATAGACCACATAGCCAGTATTGAAAAATCTTTTTCCATCATACATTGAGTACCAAATAGATTATGAAAAGCCTCTAGACACCTAATACTCCAAACATCAGAAGCCGTCGAGCGATTCGCTTGAAATAACCAGAATTCTACGTGCGGAAGAAATACGTCGAGCCTCTAATGCTACTCTGATCTTCGAATTTATCTGCTATTTAGTTTTTTTAATCCTTCATGTTCCCCAGTGGAACATAGGGCTTCAAGCTAGAGTCTTGAAGTTTCGGTAGCAGTGTTTATTTTACAGGATGGGGTTGTTAGCCTCACGTTCAACCTTTCCTCTTCACCAGCTTTATTTCTGGCTTAGTGAGGTAAAGGAGTGCACCGGCCGGGGATCAAACCCCGGACCATGTGCATGGTTGGCGAGCGTCCTTACCGCTATGCCACCGACGCATGCTATTTAGTTTAGGCTTATATTGATGCATATTATGACTTAAAGAGGCTGTTGAACTGTAATGTGTTCATTTTATCGCCTTCATGCCATTTGGAACATAAATGTTGTCCGTGGAAATGATTCATCAACTATTATAGATACATAACTGTTGAACCTGATGAAGAAGTTATTGAAAAGAATATTCTTTGTTCACCAATTAGTCTGTTAAAGTTTTTAATAGGTATCTCTAATCATTGAAAATATAATAGACGTATAATTATAAGTTACTGGAATCAAATAGCTACATAAATCAATACTGCTGCACAACTTACAGTTGAATTTTATCTATTCCATTTATTTTATTAGATTGATTCATAAAATTACAGTCAACTAATTCATTGGACTCCTTGAACATATCTTTTGTTGTTTTATTCAGACAATAAGTTTGGTTCGTTAAATATCCCGCCACGTCATTATTTGAATTTGTTGGATACTTATTTAAACAATTTGAATTGAAACACTGATCATTTGATAATTGAATGTTATTTTGTGTATTATTCTTCTTCGCCTTCTCGACATTGTCATCATCATCGCCATCATCGTCATCATCGAGTGAATTTGTATTATTCGATGTATTTTGTTGTGTTAAAATTTGTTTATTATCAATTTTCGATAAAAATTGCATTAAACGTTTATTATTATCTATGGATTTTGCTTGTAACCGACGTGCTACTTTGTATATGCCGACGTATAGACTACACATGATAACTAGTGTAGTCCAAAAATAGCCTATCGTCAATGTTGTATTGAATACTGGATAATAGGTGAAAGAGACTTCACATTTGACAATTTCACGTTCTGGTTCCCCGGTTAAATAGGACCAACCAAAAATAACTGGTGTAAATAAAGCTGCTGGAAATATCCAACTTATGCAGATCATAACTCGAACCTTTTTGTAAATAAACAGCGAAAAAACAAAACAAAATAAAATATAGACCATTAGTGTACAACAGTACATACAGTGATTATTTAGATAGATAAGTTTCTCTAATTTCCTTTACATTTTGAGTCGAACACGGAACTTCAAACTTCAGGCTGTGGAGTTTCAGCGGCCGTAGTGTTGTTTCTTTACAGGATAGGGCTGCTAGCCTCACCTTCAATGTCTCCTCTTTTACAGACTTCCTGTCGGTTAGGAGAGGTGTAAGAGTGCTTCGCGACTAGGGATTGATCCTGGCCACCTTCGCGCTTGGTCGGTGAGCTTTCTAGCATCATAGGTATGTTGCCTTGCATTTCACAGGTTTATACGAAAAATACCAATATAGGTAAGTAATCGGCTTGTATCACTAGATATCTGCCAGTGAAATCAGGCAACTCAAAGCTGTACATTTGTTCAGGGGGTGGGTGGTTATATATACAGTGTAGACTGACAACAAAGGTCAAAGGTTATTGTCAGTTATTGACAAAGCAAATCAAAGTGTTTCAGTAAAAACTCTTTTTGGAAAATTAGTGGAAGTTTTTCTTAACCAAGAGGGTTGACAGCTGATTATTTGAGTGGTGAATAATCGTTTTTAAATAGTCGATAAGAGACAAAAGAACAAAAGACTGAAAATGAGTAGCAAAAGCATAAAGCGGACTACATGCAGCTTACTATATAGTTAGTTATTCAGGAAGACAAAGGAAGAACAAAAAAAGAAAAAAAATAGTATTGAGGCTGTGGCAGTAAAAGAGGGTGGATGAAACGTTTCTGAACACAATGTTTAGGCTTCTCACTAAGGATTGCGAAGGCTGTGACTGTATGAAGACGATCTTTTCCAACGTCTTGACAGTTGCATCAGCCCCAACAGGGTGATAGCTGACGAAATCTCAGCATGGATATAGAAGGCTCGTTCCGCATATGCCACTTAACGCCATGTCTGGCTTAGACGTTGATATCTCGCTGGCTGCTGACCAAAGGGAGTGTATGCTGCTCAGCAGTCCGCTCCGTCCACCTTTATGGCTGTGAGACCTGGCCATTGAGAGAGGAAGACATGAAAAACCTGGCTAGTTGTCTTTGGTCACAGGTGTCTGTGTTCCATTTCTCTTGTGTGTGGAATGGTATAATAGGGTGAGCAGTATTGAGGTTAGGCGTCGGTCGAGTGCTAGGTAAGGAGGAGAAATCAATCGACGAGTCTGTGAAGCTATATCGATTGAAGTGGTTAGGACATGTATTACTCATGCCTAGCCATCTCCTTCCTCGGTGGTGGGAAATGTTAGCTGACATAGGATGGATCATTTTGGAAAAGAGTTGGTGGGAGTCAAACCAAAAGATGGCTTCATCAGTCAATGAAATCCATAACAGGTAGTTTAAGCCAGCCAGCCAGTCACGTAGGGAGGTGTAAACTTCCTGGCTAACTGGTTGTGTTCCTCGGGATGGTAAAAACCAATGAAGGCTGGAGATAGTTGGTGACATCCACTCCTTGTGATTTAAAATATTCAATCAAACTATATTTTTTCTTCCATATTACTAATATGTTTGCCTCAAATCTCTCTTTACTGTCTCTATTTTGCATTTGTTTTTAATTTCTTCTCTTGCTGTGCGTGCTACATGGAGTGTGGCTACTCGAACTGACGCACATCAGTGCAAAGTTCTACGTTGAAACCAGTCAGTCAGTCAACGACTTGACCGTACATTACATGTGAATTTGAAAGAAGTCTTCTCTGACACTGCATGGCCAGAAATAATAATATGCTCCAGAATTGGTCGGTTGACTGTTCCACGTTCTTTTTTTGACAACAATGATGGTAAGTGTTCATGAACACGTCTAGATACTGTCCTACTAATAAAGACAATGTTTTTTGCTGAACAGAAGCAGGTGAATCGGTAAATACACACTGAGGTTACTAACAGCGAAATCTTGCCTTCACCGGCCTGGTGAATAAGAGCATGTGAATAGAAGATGAGGCGTAGAGAAGCAGGGTGGTTTCGGAGGACCTCATTAAATGTATCTCCTTTGAATTTCAGATTGATAATTAGTTGTTTTTTCAGCACATCCAGGCTTCAGGGAGTCTCGATCTTTCTCTTTGGTTGATTAACGAGACTGGATATCCATCTGTGATTAGAGTTTTTCAAGTAAACATATAGATGACAGAGATGATGAGGGTAATTCATCAAAAAAGATAAAAACCAGCTGTCATCACAGGGAGAAATCTAGAGGAATTACTTTCTGCCGCTTATGTAGAGAGATCCTTTGGACTACAGGAGGCACGGATGGGTGTGTCAAAGGTAGCCAGGATCGGAAAAGTTTAACAGACTATGTATTACTCTAAAATTAGTGTGTAGAAATCTGTTGCACTCAGCATAAAGAACAAAATCTGGATTTTCAACACCAATGTTAAGTCACTTAGTGCTTGTGTATGATTCAGAGATATGGTACTTGCGTTACTGAAGGCATTCCCAACAGCCTGAAGAAAACTTTCATCAACAGATACCTTGACTGGCTCTAAGCTGAAAATCAGACAACCAGCTGGCCAGAAACATTTGCAGCAACCGACTAGGAACATATCGCCCAACACATATGCAGAAGGAAATGGATAGGAAACAAACTGAGGGGATAGCTGAATGACATCATACGCCAAGAAGACCTTCGAGCGAAACTAAATGGTAGGCGAAGAACTGAGTGAGGGTCGGAGGATGACGTGAAGGAGATCATGTCAGGAGGAAATGAAACCTGAATGATAATCTTGAAGGTGGCTGAAAATGACTGTAAAGAACAGAACTAAATGCAGATATGTTGTTCAACCCCTATTTCTCTCCGGGAATCCTAGAGGATAATAATTTTCATTTGATTCAGTAGATTTTAATATACTCTTCCTCCTGGTGACTGCGTCTAAAGTCTAAAATATCAGCTGAAAAACTTGAACTACTGATTATCTTTTCAGTAGTTTAATTTTTTCATCTGATTTTACCGAATTTAATTTATGGTTTTTGAAAACAGAAACAAATTACTTTTTCGTTTAATTTTTTCTTAACTGTTTTATGTCTTACAATATATACATACGTATGTAAATATATAAAGATTTATAGCAGGAAACATTATACCAGGGATGCGTATATACGCTTGAATTAGTTTTCGACTGTTTCATCTTTTTGTGAGTCAATAGTATGGAAATTGATGAATATGAATTAATTAGTTGATCCTTTTTTATTCTACAGAAATTCTAAATGAAAAGCAGTCATGAAAGAGAGTGAAAATCAGGGAAGGAAGTGGAATAAAAAGAAGTTAAGAGGGGGAGGAGGAAGAGACAGGGGAGGAAGTTGTGAATGCATGAAGTTATGTATCATATTTCAGTGTCGATTTCATCCTGAACTAGAGTCAACTATAGATTATTGCAAACCTGGGAGTATCGGATAGCTGTTTCATTCTTGTTTGGAACTCTCCAGTAATGCATACTGTTGACACTATCAGGGATGCAACACTCGACCTATGGTTATGGCGTTGTCACCAATGGGGTCCACAATGTCAGAGTGAAACAAATGCTCATCTAAGGCACTGGCTGGAGTTATCGCTATACCATGAGTTGACAAAGTCAGAATTTTCAAGTATTGTTTTTGTAGGGATTTTTTGTTTGATTGGTTGGAGGATTTCGTCATGAGCTGACATCAGCTAGAGAACCATGAGAAAACCTGCATGGATTACTGGATAGCTGTTTCGTCGTCGTTTGGGACCCTTCGGCAGCATGCAACCGCCAACAGGATTAGAACTTAGGACCTTCTGGTTACAAGGTGAATAGTCAATTAATAGTGGACACACACTGACATAGACAAAATTGACCAGTCGATTAGAATGAAATCTCTTACAAGAAAGGTCAAACTTTGGGTCAAGGAAACATTCAGTACCAATACCAATACAAGTAGCTGCCTAGAGGGTGTGAGAACACACAAAAACAACGAATGACACTCAAGGTCAGATCATCAGGAGAGGTAACTAATAAACTCGTGGGGAAACCTAAAATCTCACTCAGTTTAATTCAAATTGAAGTATGCGCTGTGGTGAGGATGTTGCCTTGTAGGGTAATGAAAGCTTAGCAAATAAACCGTCCAGCTGAGGAAAGACAGCTTTATGAAAATCAGAGCTACCGGAGATACAAATCTTCTCCAATATATTTATCTGACATTAGACATAAATTCTCCGCGAAATCCAGGTCTTCTACAGTTTTCAAAGCGGTGTCATGCCAAAGGTTGAACCTGACAGTTTTGGTAACAGTCAGAAATCCTAACCGTTAGACACAGTGGTGTTAACCAAATAAGTAGAATTTTAAATACAACTCTGATAAAAAAAATAAATTCAAAGTTATCACAAAGATGACAATTTCACAAAGACAACATCTTCTAGGTCCTATCCTATCAGACAAACATTCTCACGATGGAAAGTCAATCTCTTTAGCTACTAGAATGACGGATGAAACACAATGCTTGGTAACATAATTAATAATGATGTAAGTTTTGATAATTTTAGTATAGTGAATGTTTCTCAGTTAAACAATTCATCCTTCAAAAGTCATCAGACACAGCAAGTATCTCCTTATCAGTATGTATTCATTGAAAAGAGGCTTTAAACACCCAGCAGGCACAAACGCAGTGATGAATTTGGGACGTTCAATCATAGCAATGCAGTAAAGCAGAGTGAATAACACTGTAGTGATGAAGAAAAGTGTTTAATGATCTGTAATGATATCGAACAGTATACCTGGTTACTTTTAAGTTAGATTAGGAGAAGATTCTGAGTTGGCGATTCAGTAGTAGCAGGCTTGCCAAACACGATCGTGATCCGGCGTTTGATCCCCGGCTGAAGCACTCCAAAATAAACTTCACTAAACCGGCAATAAGGCCGGCAAAGGGTTGAGACTGGGATTGAGGATAGCAATCCCACCACGTAAAAATAAAACCAGAGCTACCTGGACTTCAAAGCT